AAAACTCAATGTGTATAAATGTGCTCTAATTTTTTCAACAAATAAAATATTAATTGTGAATAAAATAAAAAACAAATAAAACAAATAGTAATGCAATGGGGAAAAGAAACGGTCAGAACTTTTTTAGAAAAGTATGAATACCAATATTAAGAAATAAAAATCTTTGAAAATTACTACTTTTTTGTTGCTATCATTTAAATATATGTTATCTATAAGAAATTGGTTCTCATACATAGTGATTCGATATTATAATAATATAAACCAGGAACTTTAATAATGACTTCATAATAGTAAAGTTAACAAATGACTAAGAGTATCATAATATAATAGAATTCAAATTCTTCTCATCTAAAATATTTTGACAGATAATATGCGTCTCAATATTGTCTCATTGTTTTGTTTTGTTTTGTTATTATTGAAGAATCAAGAAATGATCATTATCTTGAATTTTCGAAACATTAGTTATGATACAAAAAGTGGACAATAAATGCATTAAATAAATTATTAGACACATAAATATTGCAAGTAATCCAAACGAATGTGAAATGTTTTATGATAAACAACTCTAAAATCATTGCAACAACCAAAATGTTCACTGATGCAAATTGTAAATAATAGGTTATGTAGTTCATCTATCGTCCAAATAAATAACATTGAAAAGGGAATGTTTGATTATGATTAAATTATTTTTGAATGATTGAATAAGTTCACTTTTGATAGAATATTTACAATCTTAATTGTGTATTGGGCTCGATCACATGTGAAATTACTTTAGAATACGTATTTTAATGTGATGTGTGATAATTTTAAAAAATAATTTAGCGACTTCGAAGAAGTACATGATTTTGAAAAATTAACTTTTTATTTAGAGATTAAATTCGTTTCCACCCCATGGAGTAAGTACCAATTTCTCTATCTTAATTGTGTATTGTGCTCGATCATATGTACAATTACTTTAGAATACGTACTTTAATGTGATGTGTGATAATTTTAAAAAATAATTTAGCAACTTCGGAGAAGTACATGATTTTGGAAAATCAATTTTTATTTAGAGATTAAATTCGTTCTTACCCCATGGAGTAAGTACCAATTTGTTATATGGAGAGAGAGAGAGAGAGAGAGAGAGAGAAGTAATATAGTATTTTATACAATGATTAAAAAAAATATCAAGAATTTTAATGACACAAGTATCAAGAACTCTAATGATACAGTTGGTTATATCACAGAGATCATTATGAACTGTTAGTAAATATATTTTATAATGATCATACAATCATGAAGTTTGACTATATGTTTGGCTAAATTATCTCTAAGTGTTGAATAAAGCACACGTTTTACCAAATTAATTAAGAAAAAATTAACAATACTATTGATTTATTGGAATACAACGAGTATAAATGTTTCTTATGAGAACATCAAATTAAAATGAAAGAAAATCACTCTTGAATATACATAAATAAATAAAAGAACTCATGCATCTATAATATACATTAGGTCCTTATTTAGTGTTTTTTTTATTATGAACTCATTTTCATATATTTTTGTTGGGGTTGTAATATATTAAATAAATTTTTTTATATTACGACATCATTATATTATTTTTGAAAAAAAAAATAATTAAGAGTTTATTTAATCTACATTTTATTTTTTTTACTGCAACTATATGTTTAATAAATTAATTAATTTATCTTACTAAAATTAATCGGCAAAAAACATTCGTCACCACGTGTATCGCACGTGCACTTTACTAGTAAAACCAAAATTAACAAGTGTGCACTGTGAAGGGTGTCAAACAGAGGGTATAAATGCAATCACATAAGCATATCGGTTTGTGCAAGTCAACCAATAATTTGCAAAGCACCAACATTGAGCCATCATTTTGACTTAAAACAAAGAAGGTGCCGAATATAAAAGAGGAAATTACATCCTCCACTTAAACAATTTAAAAATATTACATAATTACATCTCCTATATAATTATTTACAAATTAACTAATTTTGTTATATTTATTTGCATATATGCCTAAAAAGCTGATTTTCTATTTACACGGTAATTTCCTATCAATTACTTCCCATCAATTACGTCTCTCTCCTCTCACCTTGTCTTTCTCTTCTTCACACACGGCCCTATCTCTCTCTTCTCAGAAAAATGTGTTGCTCGTAGTTTTAGTGGTGATTGCAATTGGGCTTCTCTTCGGATTTGGCGTTTTCAAGCATGGTTTTCACACGTTGCAGGACACTATCCACGTTTGCGACCCCCGCCGCCGCTTTGTGCAGGCGGCGCTTTTACGGTTTCGATGCCCCGCCGCCGTACTAGGAGATATTTTCTCCCAACATTTGTCCTTTTTCTTTTTTTGCAAGTTTTTTTCTTTTTTTTTTTCGTTTTTCTTTAATTCCTTTTGTTATCGGGGTTTATTGTTGAGGGTTGTGATGATCCCTGTAGATTGTTGACATTATTTGCAAAGGATCATTGCCCATTAGAAGACTTGATATGTTGAATTGACGTGATTGAAATCTGGTTCGTATCAGTTGTTTTGCTTATATAATGCTTTTTGATTTCATGTTTTTGTTCCTTTGATAAATAATATCTTGTAGTTCATATAGTTTGTCTCTGATCAGAGAGCCCAACCTCAGCCCGAACACAGCCCCCTTTGTAGCGGCAACATTTTACTGAATATTGCAACATATACTAACTATATACTAGATATAAACTCAATATATACTTTCCATTCAAGACAAGAAAATTTATATTGACTTTTAAACTCAATATATACTGTGTTGTAACTGCAATTTTTACGAAAAAAATACGCAAACGCAACACATACTACAAAATATTCAAAAACTGATTTAGAACAAAAATAACTGGATTTTTTTTGTTGTGTATATATATAGTTTATATACATAATCCATTTCATCATATATAATGAATGAAAATCATCATAGGCGACTCCATCCACATAATATAAGAAACATATACCATTAACATATAAAAAAAAAACGATACATATGCCATGAATAAAAAAAACGATACATATACCATTAATAAACTATAAATTCACGTACGTTATAATGAATATTAAACTTAAAAAAAAAAAAAAAA